GTCGCGCCTACGACCCAAATGTAGTGGAACCTCGGTTTAGTCCGTGCCGGCACCGAACTCGTCATGCGAAACGTAGCCAATCAAACTGCATCAGTTCACTGATTCCCTTCAGGTGACCGAGGACCCACGTCCTGTGAGCAAGATTAGACGGCGGACAGGCACTGTTGGGAATGCGCCCATTCGCATGATTATTCATCTCACAGAAAGGTCCGAGAGCTCATCTTACGCAGCTGTCATGGGAGCGCGACGCGACTATCGATTTTTGCTCCGGTCCTGGTTGGCCCATTGTCGGACGATGTCTATCGCGTTCCTTTTAAAGTACATGCACTCTGTGTCTGACTTGACTTGCGCTGACGTACTGTAACGTGCTCTGTATAAGTAAACTCTCTCGCTGGCCGACTGGTCTTCTCTCTGTTTCGTGCGAATCAAAGTACCAGGCGCGGGTCCTAACAGGCACACACGCGTACTGACAACTTGTCAACTGAGCAGAAACTCGTCAAACGAAACAAATTTTCTGCTAGTGGCCCGCTCGTCACCTGAAATGCTCGCATATGGAGCCGCCCGTCGACCGAGGCTCCATCAGTTGATCGGCTCTGTTTTGATCCAGAGACAACCAAATCCCCGACACGACCCGAACCTAACAGATTTGCTTTATTTCGGTGGGAGTACTTTGTCGCCGCGATCGCGAAGAAAATGCAACTGCATTCACTTCAGTTATCCTGCGGTTTACCACCAGCTCCCTTTTCCCCATAGTCCAATTAGTGGCACACAGCCGGCAGTGTACTTCCCTTCCATGAAAATCTTCAGGTTTGAAATCCCCCTTCCCCGCGGTGAGGGAAACCGCTGGGAAGTATGAGCAGAGCATGCCTACCATACGCGTGACCAGAAACACTTAGAGGTGAAAAGAGTTCAGTAAGAAGAAATTTGTAGACGTCGAAGTGTACAAAAGGGAGAGGCAATGGTTCCGTGAGGAAAAATGTGAATGCAATACATAAACGGCCCGAGGAGAGAAGCCACACACCAGGCGTATTAAGCAGATAGAGAGCTGAGGCGAAGACATTGGTGATATTGTTCGATAATCACGATATTAAAAACCTTCAAGCACATCAAGAGTGGTAACACAGGAAAAAAGAGCAATGGTGATTAATCGAGTGGCAATTTCAGTAGTGAAAAATGAATCAAAAATGTCCTGCGGCAAAATGACCGCCATGTACGAGGGAAAAGGTTAGTGGGTGTGTGCATGAAAGAGAGCGAGAGAGAGCTTACATTAAAATACATGCTCACACACAGACATTTAGGACAAAAGTGAGGTCAGCGTAGATGGCCTGATGGAAGGCGAGTATTAACGGAGAGCAAAAATGTCGACGGATGGCAGACCACTGTTCATCGCTGTGCAGGAGTGGCGGAAAGGGGTTTTAAGGCGCGATGAGGGAGATGGGAGAGGGGAATGTGGCCCCACCTCTGTATTCAGTGATGCGGTCAAAGAGGGCGGGGGGGGGAGAGTATGTCTTGTGCGCTTAAACAGCGTAGTCTGGCCATTATGGCGAGAATAAGAGGAAAAAGGAGGAGACTGTTGTGGAGACCTAGGACCGCCGGCTTGTAAGATGCGTTGCCCACCAAATGAATAATTGTCCGATCGGCGTGGTAAACACAAGTCAATGGCTTTAACTCTGCACGGGCTGGTAGTGTGTCCGGGAGTGTCTGTCCTTTGCAGCACAGCAGAGAATCATGGAAAAGACCAGACCAACCAGCTGGAATGTCATAAATGAAAACCTGGGTTAGGCACATAAAGATGATTTTACACAAATAAGTGACTACACTATACTACCGAACACTACCAAGACACGCTTTATTGAGCTTTGATACTTGTATAAGAGTGGTGACAGCAGCAAAAAGCCAGGCAATTATAGAGACTATAGACAAATCAACTGTCCGTGACGCACATCTGAAGGTGACTGCGCAGGGATCTGCATGCCGGCGCCAAATCGATACACCGATTGCGTTCCCAGCCTAATCTTAAGTAGCAATCTGGGGTAGTGTGCCGCATCTCATGCTTACGCTGTCCCTGTAAATCAACAGACGATGCTCGGATCACGCATACATAGAAATAAGCTGGCTGTGCGACGGGACGACGAATTATCGCAAGATGCTGCCCACATCTACGAGACGGGCCACGAGTTCAATTGCGCAGCCGTCAAGATACTCGACCACGCCGGAAACAGGACGAGTAGAGATGTGAAGCTTGTTCCATGGATAGGAACTCAATCAATTAATGTATCGACTTGGGGCCGGCAACAGAAGCCCGCGCCGCAGTCAATTCCAGGTTGGCGTAACTGATTATTGATTGGCTTGCTGCTGCTGCTGCTACCTCCAAGATGAGCTCCTGTATGACTTTTAAAGCTCAGAACAAACTGTTCCGGTGCTCGACCAGCTTTCTTTACTCATCTTGATTAAGTCTTCGAACATCGGGCTGGCGAATTCCACCAACCCCGCGCTAGTGGAATAAGCGCCTACCGGGTACACTCAGGAAAGGAACAATGTAATAAACGACTACCATGCTCTTTTCCAACTCGATTTGAAAGCATTTGGCCCACTATAAACGCAGACTAGTTGCGACTGGTAGG